TGATCAAGGTTGACACCAGTTGATGACCACCGAGAACGAAAGAGGGATGGTTTGTTGTGGGTCGTTATTGTAGCGAACTCGGGATCTTCACGCTTAGCTAAGCTAGAGCTACTTGTAAGTGTGCTTGACCATTCATAAAGTGTTCGGATGCCTTAGCGCCAAGATTCTATCTTTAGGCGCCGATTGGTATACCCCGGCGCCAAGGCATCCGAATACTTTATGAATCGGCTACCGTACTATTATACCCTAGGATAATTTACGTTATTTCTTGAGGAAAAAGCCCTAACCTGTAACCGGTTGCTGTGGCAACAAGCTATCATATCATACCGGTATCACATCATACTTGTGGGGCTAAGCCAAAACCCCACTATGAAATCCTTGTACCTTACGCTACTCTAGCATTGCACCGGCACAGCCATACCCGTTACTTGTGCCCGTACCGGTAGCCACGTCACGGGCAAAGCAGCAAGGAGATAACAGCTGTAACTTGGCAGGAGCCAGTAACGCGAGAAACCATACATGTATTTTATTTTCTTTCTCTTCCCCGCTCTGATCATGGGTGGGTGAGTAATGCTCCTGGATTTTCCACTTTGTGAGGGAGATTTACCGATGCTCCGATTCCCGGAAGGGAATGGACTTGAATTGTGTTTACACAGTATCATAAGTTTCTCTATGGTGGTAGTGCAATACGCAGGGTGGCTACTATTGCCTCCTTACTTTTACAAGACGAACGCAGCCATTCTCGAAGAAGCCTACCGTTGTGCTCCCCACATGGCGGAGCGGAACGCTTGTCGAAGGACTGAAAAGTAGAAGAGCTGACGGGGTCATGGAGAGTCACTCGATAGGGAATTCCTGAGGGTAGGTAGGGGATCGGTATGTTATGAATACTCGTGGGAAACTCCCGGCCCAGCCACTTTATTTATTGTTAGCCTTCCTGTGGGGGGGAGGAGCGATGACTTCCTCCTACAAGTACCGTATGATACCCTCTCCTCCTTCCCGTGTTCGAATATCCCCCAGAGGCTCTTTTTTTTTTTGCTCGTTCTTTTCAGCGTTCCGACTTCAAGCCTAAGTTAGCGGTAGCCCACATCTAACTCGCCACACATTGCGAAATACTTACCCCATGGTGCGCCGGGAACGGGCTGGAGTAGATTGTGCGTAATGTTGGTTGCAATTTAGTGCTTGCAGTTCCTAGGGCTTTTAAAGAGAGGGAGGTTCTGATCTATTTCTAGATTGCGTGGGGACATTGTGCGGATTATTTGGGTGTATAAAGTATGCTGCGCGAGCCCTGATAGGTTCAACGAGATGCCTTCTTATACTATTAACGCTATTGGCTTGAGAACTGCTTATTATCTGCTATCCTGGAATCTCAGAGCTACTTACTCGGACTACCAGCTTCAGCTTCCAGGAGAAAACCGCATTAACCAAAGGTTCAAACACTTCAACTTCCAAGTTGTGAATAAATAAATCAGGGACTTGGACTTTCCATGGGGGAGCAAAACCCACTGGATCGCCTAAACCCCACACCACCGGCATCATACTTCTATGATACAAATATAAATTGAGCTTCTGAGCCTATCACGAGAAACCCCTCCTCCATCCCATCCAGGCTCTCAATGATGAAATCCTTCAAATATTCCTTGGTCCAATGCCCGCGTCATGCAAGTCTACTCGAGTAACACCAAGATTCAACGTTTTTCCTGACAAGACAAGACAGGAACAGGGATTCTCAAAAACCAATTTACGTCACAACCCATCAACAACCTGTTTCGCCCACCACCACAGTAACGGTAACCAACGCAAAAACCCGGGAAAAATGTCATCGACAAGCAGATATAAAAAAACCACCCTTCCCACCAACTCACTCCCGTAGGGTACAATATAGCAAAGCTGTTAATTAGACAGATATCATACTCCATCTCACCACCACAACCGCCACCGTACCAAAATCCATCGGCAACAAACAAAGCATAACCAAACCAAACCCCTCAAAAAATACATAAGAAATGGGCTTCACAACAAGCTGGACCCCAACCCAACACCTCTCGCTGGTAACGCTTCTCTGTCACGAGTACGAAGAAGCCCTATCATTCTACGCGGGCCTGCTAAACTTCACGATCCACGACGACAGCGAGGTCGAGGACTCCGGTGCTGAGCCGGGCAAGCGCTTCATAGTCCTCACACCGCCAAAGCTGACGCAGATGGCGCCGATGGTCGGGCTCCGCGTCACCCGCGCCGTGACACGGCGGCAGCAGAAGGCGGTGGGGAACCAGGCGGGTGATGCGGTCTTCCTGTTCTTCGAGGTGGACAACTTCGACGAGGCTTACGGCAAGATGAAGTCCATGGGCGTCAAGTTCTTGGAGGAGAAGCCGAGGGAGGAGAAGTTTGGCAGGGCCGTCCTCTTCCAGGACCCGTACGGGAATAGGATCAATCTGGTCGATCGGCCCACCCAGAGGACGGGAAGTTTGTACGCTAAGGATACTAGCGTGTAGGTTTGTTCCTCTGGATATCTTCCTTTGGCGGTTTGTCCGGGTGCGGTGCTGACATTGGCTGCTAGGGGAGACGGGAGGGGTGAGTGATTAATGGAGTTGTGATGGGGCGGGGCTGTAAAAAATAGGTAAATCGCTTTTTGAGGAATTTGGTTTCCGGTCATTGTAATTTAGGATTTGGCTTTGCTAGTTGGGTATTTGATGAGGACTAGTTTTGGGGTTAGATAATCTATTGGGATTTCTGCCATTAATATCATTTTTTTATTCGTTACATTTTGGAGGCGGAAGCGTGATTCTGTTGATGAGTGACAGCGATAGCCCAATGAATTACTCCCCAAGAGTTCCCTCTCTCTTCCCGGAGGTGTACTGGTACGGTACGGTACGATACATGTTCGAGCATCGTCCTTCAAACGTGGTGCCTATGCCACTACATATAACGAAGCTTAGCCGGAGATCGATCAACAAAGCAAACATAATAATAATATTATAATAATAATATTATTATTATCATACCCCCACTCACACGGCCAGCCAGCCAAATGCACCTGTGCCCTCCAACCCAACCCAAACCCTAAATCACCAATCATCATCCGATTCGTCGAGGCAGCACCTTCCACGAGCCCGAATTTGTTCCATAACGCTCATTGGAAGGGTCCGAGGCGCGACAGCCCCATCACAAGAGCCACTCCCAGGACGCCCAGTTCTGCTCGGTGCGTGCCCAACCACGTCCCTCAGGATCATTTTGTGAAGGCTCGGATCCCAACTTTCCGGAACGCCCTGGTTGAGGATACCGAGATCCACGTCATCCCTAGAGAGCAATAGCAGTACAATCTCCTGACAAGCGGGCATGTCTCTAGCGGCCAGGTTCAACGGCATCTCATCCATGCACCAGAGGTTAACGTCGACCCTGGGATCGTCCACGAGCATTCTCACAATCTCCGACCGGCGGAAGCGAATGGCGGCGAACAGCGGGGTCTCGTTGTGGTGTTCGGAGTTGACGTCCACAGTCTTATCGGCGAGCAGTATCCGCAAGACCTCCGGCCAGCCGTGCTGGGCGGCGAGGTGAACGGGCACCTGCGCGAGCCCAGGGCCTAGCGACCTATCCACACGTTCGTCTTTCAGCAGCAGGTAAATTGACCAGCGCTGGTGGTTGGCGATCGCGGTCATGTAGGCTGTCATGCCGGCTCGATTCCGAGCGTTGACGTTGATTCGCTGGTCGGCAAGGAGGAGGTTGATCGTATCCTTGTCTCCGTACAGTACGGCGTGGTGTAGCCAAGTATCCTCCCCGTCCAGCGGGGGAATCTCAACTCTGGGGTCTCGAGTAATCGCCGCCACAACGTCCACCATTCCAAGACTCATGGCAAGACTCAGCGGCGGTAGGCTCATGTTCCGGTCGGGCCAATTGACGTCGACCCTGGGGTCAGCAAGGAGCATCATGGCCATATCCCCCTGATGACACTGAATGGCATATTGCAGCGCGGTCATGTTGCAGCTATCCAGTGCATTAACATTAACCCCCCTATCATACGCGAGCAAGCGCTCAACCACCCTCGCGCACCCATATTGCCCCGCGATCATGAGTAGCGTACGATCGGACGAGCAGCAGGTATCTGGATCCAAGCCCGCGTCCAGCAGCGTCAGCATGATGGCTTCGCCCTGCATGCTGAGTATGTCCTCGAGCACGTCGGCCCGCGTGAGCTCTAGGATGCGGTGGTCTAGCAGCCACGCCGCTGTGCGCGTGTCCCCACGCTCGCCAAAGTGGTGGAGCGCTCGCTCGGCGTATTCACTTGAGCCTGCACGGACGAGTCTTCTCAGAAGGGCGGGACGAAGAAGGGTTGCTAGGCGCTGGTTCGTGCGCAAGAGGGCGTTTATCTCGGGTAGGGATTGTTCGGCAGAGATTTGGAGGAGGAGTTCGTTTGGGAGGTCAAGGAGAGTCATGGTGGAGTTCTTTTTTCTTCTCGTCTTGTTCTAGTACGAGTCGCGAGTGCTAGAAGTGGCACCGGAGGGTCTATAAGTAGAGGGTAGAAGAGGTCGACGCAATTTGCCGTGAGGTAGAATAGCAGTGGGCCATCTACGCGTACGTCCCCTCCACAGTACCGTAAGAGTATTGGGTGCCTTGCACCTGATAACGTGCACTGGCTCAATGCAACATGTAAGGCCCAACCCTTCACCTCAAAAATCCGTTTTATAATAGAAGACGCTACGTTCAGTTCAGTCAGTTCAGCCAGTTCAGCATTATTAATAGAAATACCGTACTCACCTACGATACCTTGGATGCTAAACCAACACCCTTTAAGCTAAAGGGCATTTTGCAGTTTCTCGGTTGAGTGACTCGACTCCCGATGGTGCAATAATACGATAGCAAATACCACACGGCTGAGCGCGTGGCATCTGTTTGAACACCATGCCTAACCCTTCATTTCCCTGGCAAGTCCCGCAGGAATTAACTGGTGGAATCGACGGTGAATCACACACATAGGGAACGCCGTAAGACTTCCACCTCGGAAATAGTACCAGTAGCCTAACTCACGATTTCAAGAAATCAAAAGGGAGCCAGGTTACGTTTGACTCCCCACTTCACACCCATCCATCCCCATGGCCGAAGCTACCGAGAGTTTGAGAGACATTCGGGGAAAAGCGGAGCCGAAATTGGGTATCGTTAGCTCTAGAGAATGATATGGAATGATATGATAGGTAGTGCTTGCATACTCGAGTACCGAGGTGAGGGGCAGGGAGGATGGGTCCGATAAATTTACAACGGCAGGCTCCTGCCTCTCTCGAAGCCGGTGTTTATGGTCGCAGCCAACGGGTATAGTCTCGGATACCATACAACGCCCCGTGCCAGGCGCCCACCATCCCGTATCATGCCCCGTAAACCCCCTCCAAGTATCATATCCCACAAAGCCGAAGACTCATGGGTGCTCACTCAATCATGATAACACCTGGTGCGGGTTAAACTATAGTTCCGCTCACTACAAACCGACAATTTGTTCACTCAAGTCCAGACAAAAAAAATAAGTATATGGTATTACAATATTATAGTAAAACTTAATTTAGCTTTTAAATATTATTATATTAAGTTACCTGGTGTCTTATAGAGTGATTTATACTAGCATGATTTGTATCCTATTGATATAAACTGTTGTGGGGTGTGCGATTGGAGGAATATAGCTTGCATTTTCCGTCGCCATATTGAGATTGGAGAGCTCAAGAGTAGTTAACTGTGCAAGTTAGTATCACACTAGTAGGTAATAGCTCTTCTATATATATCAGAAGCTCAACAGAACAGTGGACCTTAAGAATGGAAAATGGGGTCAAGAGGTCACTCCAAAAACTTGCTGTATACCAATAATTCTCACCACCATTGGTGTAGTACAGTAGGATAAGTATTTGTTTCTACGGTAGTATTATGAAATACCTAGCTGGTGCAGTGGTTAATATGTCAAGAACTAATTGACCTCCTGTGCATTTAGCAGGTGCCCAGGAGTTCAATTCCAGCTCGAGGCGGGGTTGTTGTTGAATTCTCCATCAGGTAGGGTAGGATACTTTGGGATTCCTGGCCCTACTGGAACTGGGAGAGAGAGGTGGCAGACTTCGACTCTGGACCAGTACCCTGAGGGGGTTGGTTCGCGATCGGAAGGCTTTTTTTTTTTCTCCTTCCCCAACAGACTCTCTCTAAGAGTGTAGACCTCCTGGCTACCTTGTAGTCTTTTTAGAATTCAAGCCTTTGCAACCTTGAGGTAAGTATCAACCTTTTTTCCTAGACCTACTTTTTTTTCCCATAAACAACTTTTGTTGGTTTATCGCGAGCGGAACATATGATACTACATGATACAAACTTAACTCGATATGGCCCTTCCCACTTGTAGATCTGGGGAAGGGGGGGGGCACAGGAGGGCAATGGACTATCATACCGGTATTCCCATAACAATGCTCTTGGCGTGACTTTCCATGGGATTGATTGGGGTGTTTTTTTTTACCCCGGAGACGGGGTCTTGTACATGCATGTGCGGGCTTATGTGGGATTGTCTGGCCGGATGGATCTCCATCCATCATCATATACGGTACCCGATCCATCTATGTGCCGTTCCACGCCGAGATATTTGAGGTGCGTATAGGTTATTAGATTTTCTAAAAATTGCCAGCTAACCAACCGGGTGGAAATACCTTCGAAAGATTTCGGAGAGCGGTTCGGGATATACCATAATAGTCAGTCGGATGTGTCGGCGTCATACTTGCCTCCTCCCTCTTGTCGTGTCCGTACCCCATCGTGGCACCAAACATCAGCGGTGGAGGTGCGATTTGGAATTGTGAATGTAGTAGGGGCAACCGGAGAAATTTGGGGTTCTGGAATGTGCTATATATTCCATTGCGTCCAGAAGCCGGAAGAATATAGAGAAAAGATTGTGGAATAAGTTATAGTCGAGTGTTATATTACCCGGGGTGTCATAGCATACTTTGAGAGATCTCCTGTCAGTTGACAAAGTCGTCGATATTTATCCGCTACCACTTAGACTGATCGCTACAGGAGAAATAAGGGCCATATCACACGCCGTGCTCATATGATACTCCATCATAACTCGGTCAATACTCCACCCCACCTTTCTCTCTCACAAACGCACCCACCCTACCCCTCAACACAGCACCGATCCAACCTGATCAAAGGGAGCCTCAGCACCGCGTACAATAAATATCCATACTTTTTGGCTCCTTCTTCCACCCGGGCCCGGATCATACCACACGCAATGTTCAGCAGCAGTCAACCCAACCTGGCCTGTCCTGGCCGACAAGCATATAAACATCCACCCTCTCTATTTTCCTTCCAACATTATCTCCACGTCACCGGGTATCGCCGCGGGATGCAGCGGCGCTCGCTGATGGTCAACCGGGGATGTCGTCGACTCCCTCCCCTACCCCCCCGGGAATTTTCAGATACAGCCCGGCTAGTGTGGGATCGGGGGTTTGAGGTTTATCCCCGGACGCAGGAGGTGGACAATTCTACCTCTATATAGTACTGTAGCAGCACTCTATCACCCGTGGCAACGCTGTGAAGGAGGGTTGCAGAGTCCAAGACGGCCAGCTTGCGCAATATATCATATTCTCTAAACTTCAAGTCATCGGGATTTGGGGAATCTTCTATCATACTCAAATGACAAACTTGCCCCCGATCAATGGAGCAAGCTCGCGCTTCACTCCTCCCAAAATGTGTATAGCACCTAGGTATGGTGGTGGTGGGCTCTTGACACTGTATCCTGCGCAGATTGACCACTTATATTCATCGGGTATCACTCGAGCGAAGTGTCTATATGCAAGCTGGGGGTACGGTAGATAACCTCACCGCTCCATCATCACCTCCCTCGCATCTGCTCCTTCAGATTAATCTAGGAGAAATAGTATAACTAGATTCGACTGGAATTCCGGGGGAGGAGTGCAAATCTGAAACTCATTATTCTTTTCCTCTTCTTCATGAGGAGCGATACGAGTAAACCAACAGTTTCCCGTTGGGAAAGCAGTATACCCGGTCCGAGAAGTTGGACGGGGACCCAATTTATCAGTACCATAAAGAGTCACATCAAAGGAGAACCGGCAATTCGATATTATTAAAAAAAAAAAAAAAAAAAAAGTCCAAACTAAAGATAGCAATTTCTAATTTCAAAAAAAAAACCCCCCAACCAGTCCTCCTACAAAAGCCCGAATTTTGGGATGGACACCATTCCCGAATTTAACCTAGCTAGTGCCCCCCTCCAGGCCCTTCTGCTCGAGTCCACCCCATTTAAAACGAGATAAGTAACTCCACCTCCACATTCCCTTCCTCACCCGGACGGGGGAAAGTGTGTATCATAAGGGAATCAAGAAAGATCCAAACACGAGTTTCATTCCCCCACCCGCTACTAAATCAACACTGGTACAAAATGGGGCAGGCGGTGGTGTTCCTAGAGCGTAATTACTGCATCACATCGTTATCGAAAATATCTGTCGGTCCGTTCTACGAACGTATCACTGATACTTCGTATTATCACGCACGAGCGGGGCCAAAATGCTGCACATGCGCTCAAAGTCACCCTGCTCGTCAAGGCCAGGTCTCCTGAACCCTCCATTTCCCGTCCTCAATCCAGTACACCCACCTGCGCGCCTTCGCATCATCCTCTTTCAAGTCCAACCGCTCAACAACCTCAGGCACCACAACTCCAACCCTAAAATTCCTCCTGGCAACCGTCGCGATCCCTTCCTCGTTCATGACATCTTCGTCCTGGATACTAACACCCTTAACCACGCCTCTACCGCCCCCCAGCGAAACCGGAGTTCCGGGCGGCGGGTTAGCGAAACTACCGCGAAGCGCGGGCGTCATGTTTGCAAAGTGCATTTGTACCTCTTTCTTCCACGTCCACTCCTTCTTCCATTCACTCTCGGAAGAAGTGCCGGTATTCCGTGGGACGAGGTATCGCTCGAGCACGGCCGTGATGGTGGGAGTCTCATCCACGTCCTCCTCCGCGAGGAGGTATGTTCGCCCGCGCATGCGCCATTGGTTCTGTGTCGACTCGAACCAGAACATAGCCTCCACGTACTCCCCCGCCGAGGTGCCCACGGAGTCTCCAGGTTTGGAGGTGGATAGGAGTTCCGAGGTTTTTGTCATTCGTGAGTCTGTGGTGAAGGTTGGCAGGTGGGAGGTGTAGAGTGGTGGGTTGTGGTTCGAGAGTGGGTTCTGAGGGCTTGGCGGGAGTGAGGTTAGTAGGCCGCGGTAGATCATTGTTCGGCAGCGGGGGGTTGGAGGGTGCGAAAGGGGCTGAGGGACCTGAGGGTCGTGGAAAGGGTTTAGGGACGGGAGGCTGGGAGGTGTGGTGGTTGTTGTTGCGAGGGTGAAGGTGGGAGGTTTGAGGGTTTCGATGTGTGTTAAGAAGAGGGGCTTCCAGGGTGGGTTGGACATCTTGGGCTTGGGGCGGAACGTGATGGCGATTTGGGAGCAGGGGTGATTCGGTGTTTGTGATTAAGGATAGTGGTGGTTCAGTAGTTATTTCGTAGTGAATATGGGCTTCTGGTGGTTAAGGTGGTTGGACGCTGGACGGATGACGACATAACTTGTTGCCCGTCGCTTGGTTTAAGGTCGCCCAGCTTCCCCACTCTTCCGGTTGCCGTATCATACCGTTCTCAGAACAAGAGCTCGCTTTCAAACACAATTGATCACTCAACCAACACAAATTATTCATGGACTCCCGATGACAGTGGAAAACACTTGATCTACTTAATTAGATATTAACAAGGACGCAGACATCAGTATACATATATCCCGATCCGTCCAGCCATCCTATCCAGCCTTTCGCAAATCCCACATTATCATAACCCCACCAAAAGTAAAGTTCGACCTGCGCTAACATGCAAATTACCGTACAAATAGGATTGTAGAAAAGGAAAAAGAGAAAGGAAGAAAGGAAGAGAAAGCGCCGAGCCAATCACAAACACCTAAAACTGGAAAGCAATGACCAAGACAGCGCCAATAGCCGCGGCGAACGTTGCCGGGAAAAGACCCGACGCAGCGCCCGGGGAGACAATGATGTTAGTCGGGCCACTCCCCTTCGGAGACAGACCAGTAGCGGTGGCGGTTCCATTCTTGGCGACACCAGTGACGAGCGTGGTGGGGCCAGCAGGGACATAGGTGGAGCCGGGCCCAGTGGGGGGGTAAGTTGCCGGCGCGGTGGTGGCGGGGAGGGTCGGGTAGACCAAGGTGGCATCAACGGCGGTGACGACGAGCTGGACGACAGGAATGGTGGCAGTCTGGACCTTGGTGGTGGTGGTGGTGGAAACGACATATCCGGAGGAGGGTCCGGCGGTGATGGTGGTGACCGGGCAAGGGACGACAGTCGCGATAGTCTGAACGACGGTGGTGACGGGGACGTTGGCCGGCGGGGGAGGGAGAGTGATGGTCGGTGGCAGGCAGGAGACGATGGCGGGGTTCTGAGGAATGTACGGCTGGCAGATACCCAAGAAGTATTCAAGAGACTTGCTTACGTCGGAATCGTCCTTGCCCCACGACTGGACGCACTCGGAAACCTTGGTGACGAATTCTGCGTGAGGACAGAAGCAGTTGGCGTCGGCGGTATCGTCGCAGTCGATGATGAAGATCCAAGTCTTGAGGCAGCGAGGGAGAGTGGGTGGGCACTCGGTTGGTGGAAGAGGGGCTGCGGAGGTGGTGGCGGCTGGTGGTGGGTAAGAGACTGAGACTGAACCCTTGACCGTGGAGCTGCCCACGGAGACATAACCACTGCTATAGGTAGTAGTTCCAGGGCAGTGAGGTCCATAGCAAGGAACGACGGGAGTGCTTGATGGGCAGTCGTATCCCTTACCAGGGACGCAGCTTGAGGAAACATAGGGAGAAGAGGTGGTAGTGCTAGGGCAGTGAGATCCATAGCAAGGAACGACGGGAGTGCTTGATGGGCAGTCGTATCCCTTACCAGGGACGCAGCTCGAAGAAACATAGGGAGAAGAGGTGGTAGTGCCAGGGCAGTGAGATCCATAGCAAGGAACGACAGGAGTGCTTGACGGGCAGTCGTATCCCTTGCCAGGGACGCAGCTCGAAGAAACATAGGGAGAAGAGGTGGTAGTACCAGGGCAGTGAGGCCCATAGCAAGGAACGACAGGAGTGCTCGACGGGCAGTCGTATCCCTTACCAGGGACGCAGCTCGAAGAAACATAGGGAGAAGAGGTGGTAGTGCCAGGGCAGTGAGATCCATAGCAAGGAACGACGGGAGTGCTTGATGGGCAGTCGTATCCCTTACCAGGGACGCAGCTTGAGGAAACATAGGGAGAAGAGGTGGTAGTGTTAGAGCAGTGAGACCCATAGCAAGGAACGACAGGAGTGCTTGACGGGCAGTCGTATCCCTTGCCAGGGACGCAGCTCGAAGAAACATAGGGAGAAGAGGTGGTAGTACCAGGGCAGTGAGGCCCATAGCAAGGAACGACAGGAGTGCTCGACGGGCAGTCGTATCCCTTGCCAGGGACGCAGCTCGAAGAAACATAGGGAGAAGAGGTGGCAGTACCAGGGCAGTGAGATCCGTAGCAAGGGACCGAGGTTGATGATGGGCAGTCGTATCCCTTGCCAGGGACGCAGCTCGAAGAAACATAGGGAGAAGAGGTGGTAGTACTAGGACAGTGAGATCCATAGCAAGGGACCGAGGTCGATGATGGGCAGTCGTATCCCTTGCCAGGAACGCAGACAGACGAAGTGGTAGTTGGGCAAGGCTTCCCGTTGCAGCAGTTGGGTCCATAGCATGACGGGATGGTGGTAGTAGGAACGGGAACGCTGGTGGTGGAGGTATTACACTCGAACTTGATCTTGTGGAAACCAATATTGCAAGATCCCTTATTGGAGTTATTGGGAAGCTTGACCTTCACAGTCCTCGCACCACCACACTGGTCGTTCTTGATAGTGTTGCCGTCCTTGCTGCACTTGCTCACCTTTTTACAGGTGGAGCCGTCAGGCATGCCATAGTGGAATTCAACTTCGGTATCATCATCATCGACCGAAACATCGATCTCGCCGATGGAGAAAGACTTGTCGCAGCTAATCTCATTGCTGAAGTCGTCCTTCTTGACATTGGCCTCAATGCATTTACTCTGTGGAATTTGTTAGTTTCGCACTCTCGATGCATGCTAGAAGTCGGCAATCCATACGTTAAACGTTCTACCCTCAAGACTGCGTTTGCCTAGCTTCGTTTTGCAGGACCAACCCTTGAAGTTGTAATCCTTGTACTTGCTGAAATAACCGGTTGGCAAGTCGTTCCAGTCGAAGCCGTTGCTTTCGTCATTTGTACAATCGTTTTTGATATTCCCAGGGGGAGAGTAGGAGTCTTGGTTACGCCAACTCTGTACAATAAATATATCAGCTATCAATTCAACTCTCTATCGCCACCTTGATACAGTACATACCGTCGCAGCCACACCCTGTAGGACGATGAGCCCAAAGATGGCGAACGCGCCTCCGGTCCGCATTATGATTATGATAAAGAGTGAAAATTGATCTCCGAAGACGAGTGAGTATCAGTGATCAAGGATTAGATCTAAGAAATAAAAAAATTTTCTATGAGCGAGAGTGAAGTGAGTGAGTGAGCGATAGCTACTGGCACCCGTAAAGAGGGACTAAAATGAAAACAGAAAGAGTGAAAAATAATGAATGAAACTGCCTTGACAGTTGTAGAGATCGAGGAAACGACTAGAGAGCCAAGTACCGGTAAGGTAGTGGGAGGGGGGGTGATTTTATACATCACGACTCCTGAACCACCACCAGCAAGTTGGTGGGGAGAGCGATTGCTCGGTCCATCCTATTCCCATCCAACCAGATAATCTTGAGACAATCCTGGTTAAAAAAAAATTCCGCAAGTAAGAGAGGGGGTGAGAATTCCAGTGAACCCTAAGCCGTAGGTTGTGTTTACTCGTAGGAGAATAATACAAGTATGTAATACAGTGGATGGGTGGGCAAATCGGTTTGGTTTCTGTCCGCCTTCCTTCCTAATCATGCCTGTCAGGGCGTTTGTAGGAGGAGAGTTAACGGCACCCGAGTGAGTCTCGCATTGGGGGGGGGGGTGAGACGCCTGCCAATTCGGCCTGAGCCAGTCGTTGCCCATGTTTCAAGTGAAGGTGAATGAGTGGGTTGGGCTGAGTGATTGTTCTGTACTCGTACCTGCATGTGGTGGCGATCCCACTGCAGCATGAGAAAGCCAACGCTACTAAACCAGGCACCGAGTCCAGCAGACAAGAATAGCCCGCGATGTTGGGAGCGCAGAGTTCTCGCTTGTACTCGAGTACGAGTACAATGTAGCCTTAGCGCTACCAGGTTTACCTTTTAGGAATGCATCAGGGGTAAACTGCAACAGAGTTCTCTTGATTGAGTAACCTCCACCCGAGTGGAGTGGAGAGGGGCTCGCCCTTATCGGGCAGTGTGGCTTCTCCACTACTCGAGTATAGGAGGAACACCAACTATCTTGCCCCGTTCTCAAATATCACGGCCGAAAGCAGCACCCTCCATACTCCTCGAGGGTGCGCGCAAAGTGAGGAAAATATGAGCGCTGGTTTGGAGGAAGAAGTTCAATCAATTGATGCTACTATTGACAGCACAGGTACAGTATGATACCGTACGACGCCTGACCAGTGGTCCCCGCCCCCTACCGTAGGGTCCAGTCCTCCCCCCTATTCAATGATTCCCACAAGGAGAACCATGGATAAATTGTGCTTGTATACCAGGTACTGTAGTACACGTGTAACCTTGGATCAAGGATTGCTTTCAATTTTGACAGGTGCGAGCACTCGAGTACCGGTAACTAGGACACAATCTCCTTCCGGAATGTATTATCTTTGCTCCGCCTCAATCACCGTGCACATCTCCCCGCCGTCTTACTGGAGTACCGGTACAGTACTAGTACAGAACTTCATGGTGGGGAATGGGATGCGGTGCTCAAGTTAGGGAGCACCGGTATTTACCGACATCTAACTTATAACAGAATTTATGATAATTGCATTTTGTTCCTCAATGTGGGCGAGATACACGAGTAGAAATGGGTCAGGTTGTACCAAGTCATAATTAATGAGGTATATACTTCGCACCACATTATTTCCACAATTACGCCAGCATACTGTCCCACACGGTACCCAACAGCACAAGGGAAAGAAGAAAGCAAGGGGTTCAAAAAATGTTTTAAGGTTAAGGCGCCCACCAAATTACCAATCTGCTAAGTTAGGTATCATGCTTCCAAATTATAAGATGAGGATTATGCGAATCAGATAGGATTTCCAACAATTGCCCCTCGCGAAGCAGATCCCCCATCCCCGCTGGGTCATAGACGCACTCGGGTGTTCCCGCAACACAACAAGTTCCGAGGTCTTGGAAATCCTTTGACAATCTAGCAGGATTCGGTTTGGTATGATGCCCATCTATTTTTATCACCTTCACACGCTCGTACCTGATCGAGATCCGGGATGGCGACGGCGTCAAGAATTCATTTATGTATGTTGGACAAGCACTGGCATGTTCGGGCATGGCGGAATGAGAAGGCAGGAATGGCCAAGCTTCCGAGTGATGTCAAGTGATGGTGTCATAGCTTCCAACTGGTAGCCAAGGTTATACAGCAGTGTCTACGTGAGG